CTCAGTGGTCCCTCCTTCATGGATGACCATAGATGAAGAATAGATCCAGGCTGAGTAAACCCAGAGGCACAGAAAGCTGATCAGTGGGTGTCAGGGCTGGAGAAAGGGGCAGGGGGGGGCGGGAGTAGGTGGGAAATAATAATTGCTTAATGGGTTTGGAGCTTCCTTCCCAACTGACAAGAGTTTGCCACTAAATGGGGAGGGGCACACTTTGTGAATATACCAAATGCTACTGAATTGCTCTTTTGAAGGGTACATTTCACTTTACATGTATTTCCCATCCATTTAAAGAAGATAATGGGTATTTGAGGCTCAGTGATGAGAGGAAGGAAGAGAGGGACAAGGGCTGAGGGGGGTAGGAAATCTCCCTGAGGGGCTGAGAACACGGCAGAAGCAAGTTAAGTTACAAGTGGAGAGGTTCTGGGGGAAGAGGAAATGCCCCTAGCTGCAGCAAAGGATGCTACAGGTTGAGGAAGCCTGCTTTGATCCCCTGGACCAGGTAACCGGGCTCTAGAGAGAGAAGGGAGGAAAGGATCAAGAGGGAAGCTGGGGAAGTGCTGGCAGCCTCATCCAGCTTGAAGTCTCAGCTTCCTCTCCTACTGGAAGCTCCTGGCTGGTGGGGGCGGGGACCTCACCCTTTCCACTGTTTCCTTTTCAGAGCAACATCACAGGGTTCTCTTAAAAACTCTGGCACCAATGGAATGAAATCGAACACGTTAAGCAGCTGGAAGATTGGCCACCGCCCACACCAAGGGAAGGAAGGCTGGCACTTGGCTGAGTAGGTGCCACCTTCAGGTAGCTGGGAAGACTTCCTAGGGCCAGGGGGGCCTGCCCAGCACCCTTGGCAGCTCAGCACTCAGGAGGACAGCCCCCTCTGCATCTGGGGTGGAAGAAGGGGCTGGAAGAGCATGATGGGCTCCTTTGTCAGCCCCAGAAAGGAGAGTGAAGGCAGCTACAGGAAGCAAGGAGGGGGGGGAGCCCCTCTGGAATCTATTCCCCACCCCCACCCCTCCTCTCTTGCACAGCTCCTGCACATGCTCAGTGTGCCCATGAATTGGGTTGGCTGGGGGAGGGCATTGCCTGGCACCCCCACTTAAAGGGCCAGTGCCAGCATTCTGCTCTCAACAGGGGTAAAGGGACCTAGCTGTACTTTCCCCAATATTGAGCTACTTCCCCACTTGCCGGCAGCTTCCTCCTGATCCACCCACTACCTGGAGCCACTCTATCACCACCTTTAACCCCTACCCTCACTGCAGGCAGGTCTACTCCTGGGCACAGGGTCAGGAGGTCCCCAGTAGGAAAAAAGGGGGGATCCCAGGCCAGCTTCCCAAAGCTGTCTGGGAAGTTTTGACACTCAGTTATGAAGGAGTTGCCTCCTGTCCTGTTCCAGGTAAACAGAAAGTAATGAAAGGGTTTTTGGTTTTTTGTTTTTTTTTCCCTCATACTGTGGCTTGAAGCACAGCTCCACTTCTGGCTTTTTGGTGGTTAATTGGTGCTAAGAAGTCTCACAGACTTTTCTGCCCTGGGCTGGCTGGCTACAAACCAAGATCCTCAAATCTCAGCCTCTGGAGTAGCTAGGATTACAGGTGTAAACCACCACGCCCAACTCCTAGAAAGAGCTGAGAGAAATAAGCTCTGAAAGGCCTGGGAAGTCTGAGGGATGGGGTGGGGTTTGTCCAAACCTAACTTCCCAGGTCCTTAACTGAGGGAGTGTGGGTGGAGGTGTCTGTGAACTTGACTGGCAGTCATTGCAGACACAGTAGAATAGAAGCCCTGGCTTCAGGGCCTGGCAGTTCCAGTTGAGGGAACAACAGAATGGGGGGGGGGCAGATAATAGAGGAGCACAAATGGTGGGCCCCCACCGCTCCTCAACACTGAGCATCCAAGATGATTTCCTTCCTCCATACCCCCTCACCCTGGAGGGGGAGCCCAGAGGTGTGGAGGGAAGCAGCTGGAACCTAGCTGACAGCCTCTCTTCACCGACCCCTCCCCTCTAGCCTTGAGTGACACTGCCCCAGTTCACACGCTCTCCTTTGCCCCCCAATCCCAACCCCCACCAGCCTTGGGGAAATTAATTTACCTCTGTGCTGCTCTGGACAAGGGCCTTTTAGCCATTTGATGTGTGTTTGCAATGGGGGAGGGAGCTGGCAGCTTTCCCTCCCCAGACTCTTCAGCTCCTGGGTTAAGAAGGGCCAAACTCCTCCCCCTTCCCCTCTTCTCCTAACCCCTTAGCAGCTGGTATTCACTCAGGGACTCATACACCCCTCCAACACCCTCCCCCACACTCCAGCAGCCCTCTGGAATCTTCTCTTCCCTAAGTACACACACACACACACACACACACACACTACACACACACACACACACACACACACACACACACACACACACAGAGAGGCACACAGTGCCTGGCCTCTGAGTAAACAACCGTTCCTGGCCCTCCTCCTCCCTCAGCACCAGGCTCCATGTGAGGAATGCAACAGCTGAGAAGCTGCTGGCCTTGGGTCCCAGGCTAGCACACCACAGGGAAAGGCAGGCCTCTGGCCTGCATTCCTGCAATGTGAAAGCTACTTCCTTTCTGAGCCTTGGGTTTCCCAACTGCAAAATGGGGATCACCATTCCTGACAGTTGTATGGGGATCAGAGGCTAAAGAGGGGAAAGCCCTAGGCCAGGGCTGTAGGGATGGACACCACCCCATGCCCTGGCCCAGCAAAGCTCTTTGCTCCCCCTTGAAACCTATCCCTTCCTAGAATCTGTTCTCAGCTTGCTTTGCTGTAGAAGGTGCTGGCCAGGCCTGGGTGTGGCAGCACAGAAATAAAAGTTGTCCTGGCAATACACAGGCTTCATCAACATTTCCATCCCCAGCAGTTCCTGGGCCAGAGATCTTTTCTTTTCTTACCCAATGTGGTGTCCCAATGAGTGCCCAGAAGAGAAGCCAGGTTGGGCTGGCCAGGTCTCTACTCCTCCTGTGCCCTGAGGCATAGAGAGGCAAGGGCTCTCTGGTTAGCTACCTTCCTCTGCCACCTGCTAAAATGATCCTTGTTGCAGCACAGGGGCACAGAGTGGGTGGGAGCTCATTTTAGAGCCCAATGCTGACAAGCAAAGGATTTTCACATCTGACATAACCTCTGTGAAGCACAGGCAGGTGGGGGGAGGGCGGGGACCCTCACTTCAGAGGAAAGGGACAACACACTAGATGGGCAGCTCCCCTAAGGATTCATGCACTGCTACTCCTCCCTCTCAACTACATTTTCCACCTGGAGAACTCTTCCTTGAGTGCTTACTTCTAAATGTCTTTTTAGCAGGTATTGGTGGCTCATGCCTGGAAACCTAGCTACTCAGGGCTGGGAAGGTGGCTCAGTGGTAGAGCGCTTGCCTTGCATGCATGAGGCCCTGGGTTCCATTCCTCAGCACCAGATAAGCAAAAAGAAAAAAGCCGGAAGTGGCGCTGTGGCTCAAGTGGTAGAGCCCTGGCCTTGAGCTGAAGAGCTGAGGGACAGTGCCCAGGCCGAGTTCAGGCCCCATGACCGGACCCAAAAAAAAAGGGAAACCTAGCTACTCAGGAGGCTGAGATCTGAGGGTTAGGTTCAAGGTCGACCTGGTAGGAAAGCTACTGGGATTCCTATCTCCAATTAACCACAAAAAAAAACTGGAAATGGAACTGTGACTCAAGTGGCAATGTGCTAGCCTTGGGCAAAAAAAAAAAAAAAAAAAAAAAAAACTCAGGGGAGCTGGGTAGGCACCAGCAACTCTAATCCTAGCTACTCAGGAGGCTGAGATCTGAGAGAATCATGGTTCAAAGCCAGCTCAGGCAAGAAACTCCCTGAGACTCTTATCTCCAATAAACCACCAGAAAACCGGAAGTGGTGCTGTGGCTCAAGTGGTAGAGCACTAGCCTTGAGCTGAAGAGCTGAGTGACTGCGCCCAGGCCCAAAGTTCAAGCCCCCCACCCCCAAAATAACAAAAAAACTCAGGGGGCAGGAAACAAGCCCTAGTAAAAGCCCCAGGACCAGCACAAAAATAAATAAGTAAATAAATGCCCTTTTAGTAGAGAAGAGGACAGACTGTAAGGACTTATCTTACAGCTAGCCCAGTGCTGTGATGGGTGGAGAAGAGGGACTGTGGGGGACAATGAGGCCCAGCCCTCATCTGTGAGGAGAAAACAGGAAACCTGAGAGCAAGTACTGAAAAAACCCCAGGAACTCCACACTTCAGCTTTTTCCAAAAATCTTCCCTTCTTCTCACCCCCCACCCCCCCACCCAAACTACTTCTCCTTCTGTAGGGGAGGCTGCTAGCTCCTGCCACCTCTTTTTTTTTTTTTTTTTTCATGCTGGTACCAGAGCTTGAACTCTGGGCGCTTGAACTCTGGGCCTGGACGCTTTCCCTAAGCATTTTCACTCAAGGCTGGCACTCTACCACTTGAATCACAGCTCCTCTTCCAGCTTTTTTCTGATTAGATGTGAGTCTCACAGATTGTCCTGCCCTGGCTGGCTTCAGACTTTGATCCTCAGATCTCAGCTTCGCAGGTAGTTAGCATTACTAGTGGTGTAAGCTGCTGGTGCTGGACCTTTTGTTCTATCGTTCTATCTATCTATCTATCTTTTGGCCTATTACCTACCTACCTACCTATTTTCTGCAGTTAGGGTCTCAAAAGATGCCAGCTTGGAACTCTTAGTCCTCCTGCCTTAGCCTCCCTTACACTATTACAGGTATGTACCACCACTCCCAGCTGCCATCTGACATGGGCATCGAGTTCTGGCTACACTTGTGTGTTCTTGACTGAGAGCTGTCCTAACTTGTAAACCCCTGAGCACAGGCCACTTGCTGCAGAACACAGAGCAGAACTTAGGCATCTGGACACCTTTTCAGGGCCCCATCTAGAGGTCTACTGACCTCTCTAGCTCTGAGCAAGGAGAGAGAGGGGAACTGAGATCTCTTTAGAATCAGAGTTTTGATTCTCAGAAGAGCCTAGTGAAAGCAATTCTAGTCACTCCCGCTCGGTTTTATCAACATCATTTAATTTCTCTGTAAAAAGTAAAGTGAATAACAACAACAACAAAAAAAAAAAAAAAAGAAAGAGAGAGAAAAAGAGAGGAGGAGGAGGAGGAAGAGGGGGAGGTAAGATGATGTCAAAAAGTCCACTGCAGAAGCTGGAACTTGTCTTAGCTGTTCTCAGGGGGCCCAGGAGTACTGAGTGTGATTTTCATTTGCCACTAGCTCCTTGAGACACAGCTAGCCTGGGTTTAAAATGGGGCCTTGTCCTTGGGTCCACCTGACTGGGAGGGTTTCTAGGTACCAGGCTCCCCACTGTGGTGGCTGTCCTCTCGGAATCGCACCTCATTCTCCTGCCGAAGCCTTTGGTTCTCTGTCTTGAGCCTCTTTACCTCAGCAGCTAGCTCCTCCACCTGGTGACAGGGCTGCTGGCTGGTGCCTCCCTGCCTCTGCTGCAGCCTCCGCGTTTCCTCCTCTGCTTGTGACAGCCGCTTCTCCAGATCCAGGTAGTCTTGAACCAGCTCCTGCTTGCTGCGGCCCTGCAGACTCTCAGTATGGTAACGCTCGTAAGTCTCAGAAAAGTCCCTCTGCTGGAACTCACCATTGGCTAGGTCCTTCCCACCACTGTCTTCTGCCTCACTTTCCCCACTGGAGGCTGGGTAGGACACCCCATGAGACACATCCAGGTTGGGCTCCTCTGGGTCGCGGTCATTCATCAGGAACTGGGTGGTGTTGTAGGGTGCCACGGCCTGGCCTTTGGCGAACATCTCCTCCCGGACTCGGGAGGCCCTCTGGCTCTGCCTTTCATCCCGCTGCTGCTTCTCAGCCCAGCTCAGCTCTAAGTAGGGCCGCCAGTGCCGCTTGCGCTTTGATGACCGCCTCCGATGCTTCTTCCTGCCCAGCACAGCCCCAGAGGCACAGGCCCCCGCACCCTGGGTCCTGGGACCCCCTTTGCTGCAGCCTGGACCACTGCCAGCCCCAGCAAGATCGTCATCTTCTGAGATGCTTTCCTTTTGGGCTGTCAGAAACAGGGTACTACCATGGGCTAGTGGCTCAGGGAGTACCTGGGGACCCCCTGGAGTGCCAGAGGTCTAAAGAAAGAGGAGAAAGGATGGATTAGGACAGCTTGTCCCTAAGCGGGACAGAATCCATCCCTGCCCACCAAGCATGGAGTCAACCTTCCCATACCAGCTCACCTACTCCCCCTCTACCCTCTCACTTTTTTTTTCGGGGGGGGGGGGGGGGGGGGGGGGGAGGTCCGCTTGTGGGGCCTGAACTGTAGGCCTGGGTGCTGTCCTTCAGCTCTTCAGCTCAAGGCTAGCACTCTACCACTTGAGCCACAGTGCCACTTCCGGCTTTTTCTGCTTTTGTGGTACTGAGGAATCAAACCCAGGGCCTCATGCATGCAAGGCAAGCACTCTACCACTAAGCCACCTTCCCAGTCCCTACCCTCTCACTTTTTTTTTTTTTTTTTGGTCCGGTAGTGGGGCCTGAACTCTGGGCCTGGGCGCTGTCCCTCAGCTCTTCAGCTCAAGGCTAGTGCTCTACCACTTGAGCCACAGCGCCACTTCCGGCTTTTTTCTTTTGCTTATGTGGTGCTGAGGAATCGAACCCAGGGCCTCAGGCATGCAAGGCAAGCGCTCTACCACTGAGCCACCTTCCCAGCCCCCCTCTCACTTTTGTAACTGTTTACCTAGTTATTATCTGACTCCAGCTCTCCTGGTAAACTCAGGTAAGAGCAGTATTTTCCCTGTGTCTTTCACTACTGGTCATTTTAATGCCTAAAACAATATGGGCTACAGAGTAGGTGTTTTTTCTTTTCTTTTTCTTTTTTGGTCATTGTTTTATGGGTTTTTGTTTTTGGTGGGTTTGTTTTTTTTTTTTTTTGGCCATGGGGCTTGAAATCTGGGCCTGGGCACTGTCCCTGAGCTCTTCAGCTCAAGGAGAAGGCTCTACCACTTGAGCCACAATGCCACCTTCGGTTTTCTGGTGGTTACTTGGAGATAGGAGTTTGATGGACTTTCCTGCCTGGCTTTGAACCACGATCCTTTCAGATCTCTGTCTCCTGAGTAGCTAGGATTACAGGCATGAGCCAACAATGCCCTGCTTGTAACATTTTTTTGTTTTGTTTTGTTTTGTGTTCTGCCAGTCATGGAGCTTGAACTCAGGGCCTGGGTGTTGTCCCTGAGTTTCATTGCTCAAGGCTAGTGCTCTATCACTTGAGCCATAGCTCTACTTCCGGTCTTTCTTTCTTTCCTTCTTTCTTCCTTCCTTTCCTTCTTTCTTCCTTCCTTTCCTTCCTCCTTTCTTCCTTCCTTTCTTTCTTTCTTTCTTTCTGGTAGTTTATTGGAGATAAGAATCTCAACGACTTTCTTGGCTTCAAACCTAGAGCCTAAGATCTCAGCCTTCTGAGTTGCTAGGATTGCAGGCGCAAGCCTCTGGTGCCCACCAAGAGTAGGGGTTTTATAAATACCATGGGAAAAAAGCCAGTGCTTAGCCAAGTGCTGGTGGCTCATACCTGTAATCCTAGGTAGGAAGCTGAGATCTGAGGATTTCGGTTCAAAGCCAGGCCAAGTAGGAAAGTCTGTGAGACTCTTATCCCCAAGTAAGCACCAAAAAAGCCAGAAGTGAAGCTGTGGCTCTTGAGCACTAGCCTTGAGCAAAGAAGCTCAAAGATAGCACCTAGGCCCTGAGTTCAACCTCAGGATTAGCATATATAAGCAAAAAAAGCTGGATTCTTATGGCTCATGCCTGTAATCCTAGCTACTCAAGAGGCTGAGATCTGAGAATTGAAGGATTCTCAGATGATCTGAGATTTGAAGCTAGAGCCAGCAGGAAGGTCTGTAAGACCTACTAGAAGTAGAGCTGTGGCTCAAGGAGAAGAGCACTATCCTTGAGAGAAAAAGCTAAGAGATAGCACCATAGGCCATGAGTTCAAGCCCAAGTACTAGCACACAAATGAACAAATAAACAAATAAATATTGTGAACATGGACGAGGAAAGCAATCAGTAATGGAAGGCAGGTCCTGATGTACCTACTTTTTACTCTTGCTAGAATGTGTGTCTTTTAGACAGAGTGGCTCTCCTTGATAAGCAACCTGTACACTTGCACAAATGCCCCATGCTTACTCTGCTGTCCCTGCCTGCCTCTGTGTGTGTGTGTGTGTGTGTGTGTTGGTCCTGAGGCTTGAACTCAGGGCCTGGGCACTGTCCCTGAGCTTATTTTTTTTGCTAAAGCTCTACCACTTGAGCCATAGTTCCATTTTTGGCTTTTTTGTTAGTTAACTGAAGATGAGTCTCGTGGGCTTTCCTGCCTGGGCTGGCTTTGAACGAGTATCCTCAGATTTCAGCCTCCTAGTAACTAGGATTATAGGAGTGAGCCCAGATTTTTTTTTTGACATGAGAGTTTTGCTGTGTATCTCAGGGTATATTCAAAACTTATGATCCTGCTGCCTCAGCCTCCCAAGTAAATACGCTTGTCAGGTGCCAGTGGTTCACACCTATAATCCTAGCCAGCCTGAGCAGAAAAACCTGCGAAACACTTATCTATAATTAACCAGCAAAAAAAAAAAAAAAGGCAGAAATGGAGGTATGGATCACATAGTAGAATGCTAGCTTTGAACAAAAACCTAAGGGAGAAAACCCTGGTTCCTGAGTTCAAGCCCCCGTACTGGCACTGGAGAGAAAAAAAATAAAAAGCTGAGGCTCACAGGCACCTGCCACTATGCCCAGCTTTGAACTCAAAAAATAATTTTTTGTTGTTGATACTGGGGTTTGAACTCAGGTTCTTGTGCCTACGAAGGCAGGCACTCTACCCTAAACTCAGTAATTTATGAACAAGGGGCCCCATAATTGTACAGTAGATCCTGCCTCCAGCTGTATGAATGGCTGGCTCTTTCTTATCCTTTAGAGCTCAGTTCCAGTGTCACCAGTTCAAGGAGGCTCTCGTGACTATCCTTCTTAAAGTAGCCCTACCTCCCCTCCCCAGTGACTCTTCTATCATAGCACACAGGTAATACACCACACAATCTTTAGCATATTGCCACTTTACCATCTTCCTTCCTCTCCTGAGAATGTCAGAATGTCTCGTCTGTTCAGTTTCCCACTCTACTATGCACAGCATACAGTAAGTGCTCAATAAATATTTGTTAAGTGACCAAAACTTTGTAAGATAAGAGGATATAGGGTGGCTACAATCTTTACTCTGGAGGTAGAGATGAGGAGGATTTCAGTTTGAGGCCAGCCCAGGCAAAATACTCAAATGAGTTCCTCATCTCAACAAGGTAAATAGCAAGTGGAGGTGTGGCACAAGTGGTAGAACAGCCTTGAGCAAAAAAGCCAAGTGAGAGGACTTGGCTGTGAGTTTCAAGCCCCTGGATGGGCAAAAACTTAAGCAAACAAACAACAAGCTGGTATGGTGGCACATGCCTGTCATCCCAGCTACTCAGGAGGCATAAGCAGGCAAGAAGGTCAAGGTCCAAGGGTGCCTTGGGAAATAACGTCAGACCCTAACCTGAAAAATAATGAAAACAAAAAAAGAGCCAGAAATGGAGCTCAAGTACTAGTTCCTGAGTTCAAACCTCAGTACTACCAAAAAGAAAAAAAAAAAAAAAAAAAAAGAACCCCCAAAATGCTGGACAAATAGAAGACTACTCTCCTTTTTATCCTTCTAAGGTATGGAAGATAGAAGGTGTTGTTGTTGTTGTTGTTTTGCCAGTCATGGTGCCTGAACTCTGGGCCTGGGCACTGTCCCTCAGCTCTTCAGCTCAAGGCTAGTGCTCTACCACTTGAGCCACAGTGCCACTTCCAGCTTTTTCTGCTTATGTTGTGCTGAGGAATGGAACCCAGGGCCTCATGCATGCAAGGCAAGCACTCTACCACTGAGCCACCTTCCCAGCCCTAGAATGTGTTTATACCAAGTACTTTATGAGTATCAAAGAGGTCCTTAACATAAAAGTGTCAATTCTATTCTGTAATGCAAGCTCCAGAACTCACAAGAGATAGAAAGGGATCTGTCCAGAGAGTGTGTCTGTTTATCTCTGTTGTGGTACGGGTAGGAGTACTGGGTGTGGGGGATGGGCAGTGAATTGCTCTAAGTTTGTGGTTGGGAGGATTTCTAATAATACCCAAACCATCAGCCTGTTGTTTTATAAAATACAACATGGCATCCGTGCATGCGTTCATACAAATGAAGAGTATTTGGGCAATGTGTCAGTTTTGGTTTTTTTCTTGGATACTGTGTTTGAACTCAGGACTTCATCCTTGCTAGGCAGGTATGCTATCACTAGAAATATGACCCAGTTTCAACAATGCGGTCTTTAAGGCCCTATAAGAGCCTGGAGCATATTATGCGTGTTTTATAGATTCTGAGGGGGAACTTCAGGGGAAAAGAAGTATGTTACAGTTACAGAATGAGAGTAAGGGAGTGTGTGTGTGTGTGTGTGTGTGTGTGTGTGTGTGTGTGTGTGTGTGTGTGTGTGTGTGTTGTGTTACTTGCAGGGAGTTCATCAATCATGAACAACAGGCCATTTCCATCAATTTGGGCTAAGACAGAGCTGTTGTCCCTCCCATAAGAGACAAAGCCTCTTAGAACTAAGGCAGGATGGCTTATTTGTGTGTTCATGATCATTGACTAGTTCTCTGCCCTTAGTATATGTCCCCTAGTGATCCTTCCCCTAGTCTTACATTCCATTTCCCTTCTGAAGTCTTACCCCTTAACCACCATTATCATTTTTGAAGATAAGCTGTGTCACCTGGGTGAGTCATTTGCCCTCTCCGAACCTTCTTGCCTCAACATGTCATGAATCCCAAGTAAGATTAATTCATTTAACACTGAAACTGGCTAGGTAGGGTAGGTCAAAGCTTCTCCGAACCAGGTGTAGTGGCACATGCTATAATCCCAGCCCTTGGAAGGTAGAAGCAAGAGGATCAATTCAAAAGCAGCCTGACCTACATACTGAAACTGTTTAAAAACAAAAAAAGCAAGGGCTTGGGATGTAGCTTGGTGGTAAAATGCTTGCCTAACATGCAGAAGACTTGAAGTTTGATCCCTAGCATTAAAAAAAATTAAAAAATAAATTAAATAATAATAGTAATAAAAGCTTTACTTCCCTCAAAACCCTCATCTATGGAAAGTTGTGAGGAGAGGAGAATAGGTAAGGTAAGGCAGAGTGATGTAATGAGCTAGAAGAGTTTTTTTGTCAGTTGTGGAGCTTGAACTGAGGGCCTGGGCGCTTTTCCTGAGCCTCTTTGTGCTCAATGCTAGCACTCTACCACTTGAGCCACAGTACCACTTCCAGTTAATTGGAGATAAGAGTCTCACAGACTTTCCTGCCTGGGTTGGCTTTGAACTGTGATTCTCAGATCTCAACCTCCAGAGTAGCTAGGATTACAAGAATGAGCCACTGGCACCTGGCAGGGTTTGGATTCTTATTGTCAGCCTAGAAGGTGGCATTCTCAAAGGGCATAGTATCTCTTTTCTGTCCTCTCTTCTGGGTTATCTCCTACTCTCTACTTACATCTCTATTTATTTAGCCAGTCCTGGGGCTTAAACTCAGGGCCTGTGCACTGTCCTTGAGCTTCTTTTGCTCAAGGCTAGCACTACTACTTGAGCCACAGTGCCACTTCTGGCTTTTTCTATTTATGTGGTACTGAGGAATCGAACCCAGGGCTTCATGCATGCTGGGCAAGCACTTTACCAGTAAGCCACATTCCCAGCCCTCAAATTTTTATCCTAAACTGTTTTTCTTTCTTCACACTTGGTTCTTAGCCTGAACAAAATGGAAATATTGAACCAAGTTATTTGTCCCCAAGCTTAAGACAATGTTCTGTTGTCAGAAAACCCTACCTTTCTTCTTTTTTTTGCCAGACATGGGGCTTGAGCTCAGGGCCTGGGCACTGTCCCGGAGTCTGTGCTCAAGGCTAGTACTCTACTACTTGAGTCACAGCACCAATTCTAGCCTTTTCTGTGTATGTGGTACTGAGGAATCGAACCCAGGGCTTCATGTATGCAAGGCATATTTTCAGCCCAACCCTGTTTTTTTTTTAATCTATTTTTATTTTTATTATTTATTTTTGCTTTAACTCAGGGCCTTACCACTGTACCCGAGCTGCTTTTGCTCAAGGCTAGCACTCTACCATTTGAGCCACAGTGCCACTTATGGCTTTTTCTGTGTATGTGGTACTGAGGAATTGAACCCAGGGCTTCATGCAAGCTAGGTACGCACTCTATACCACTAGGCCACATTCCTAGCCTTTTTTTTTTTTTTAATCTTGGCAGTACTGGAGTTTGAACCCAGGCCTTGTACTTGCTAGGTAGGCACTCTACCACTTAACCACAAGCTCAGCCCCAGAAGGCACTAAGTTTAAACCTGATGCTTGTTACGTGACAAGAAGTCTAGAAAAGGCATTTCAGCTAGAACCTTAACTTCTGTGAACTGGAAATGAAGGGCTACTAGGAACTCATGATTTAGTGCTGATTTATCTGGCTTATTACCCAGAGCATAATGGAGACTCAATTTAAATACTGGTTTTCCAAATCTGCCAGCATATCTGAGACAGAAAAGTTGAAATGACAGCTGGCAGCTCCCATGTTCAGGGTACTCAGGTGACTTGGAGGGCAAGACTTACCTTCACCTCCTCTACAGCTGTTGGTGACTCTGTATTACAGTTGGTCTGATTCACAGTGGCCATCTTCTTTTACCAGATGCCTTTAACTCCTGACACCTGTTTTGAACAACAGAGAAACCTAAATCCTGAAGGACAATTCTTAGGAAGAACCTGGCTGCTCAGGAATTGTTTGCCCAGGCAGTGGCAGCCATTTTGTAGCCCCAAAACTGCACAGTGGAGAGCTCGAAGGCCACTTCCACAGCCTGATTTTTCACACCTCCAGCCAGCAAGGGACCAAATGGAATTGAGGGGCCATCTTCCCAGTCCTGAACTTCAGGCTTCAAACTAGGACTTCACCTATACTTTCTCCTCTGAGAAGTCACTGAGGCCTAAGTTTTGATGCCCCAATAACCAACGGGAAATGGAGACTGGGAGCTCTTGGCCACCTCAGCCCCACCTCAACCTCCCTCCTCCCCAGTCTAGGCAAAAGCTCTGGAAGTTTGGCTAAGATCTGGGTGGAGCCTAGAGCTGAGGCCATTTTGTCTTGAGCCTTGTCAGTCTCTCTCCTTCCTCTGGGGAAGGGAAACAGAGGAAAAAGGTTGAGGACTGCATTACATGCAGCTGGGAAGGAAATCCAACTAGGATAAGGACGGGTTTATTGGGGAAGGGGAAATAAATCATGGAAGGGTTTTGCAAAGGTGGAATTGACCTACTTGCTGTCAGGGTTATGCACACCACTCACTACCTCTTGTGTGTCTTTCTGTGCGATCGGTTCCCAAAGCCTCAGCCCTAGTCCCTTACTGCAGTAGCAGCAGCTCTGTCCGAGGCAGCCGCTCAAGCACTAAGGTTGTGGGGGAGGGGAAACAGCCTGGCAGCGCAGTGTCTGCTGGGGATTGTAGTTCTTCCATCGTGGGACAGCAGCCAAAGGTCCGGCAAGTCAACAACCACACCCTAGAACTTCAAAACCCATCTGCCCTTGCGCGGGAGTCCCGCGCACACCGCTCCTTTTCCTGATTGGTCCAGCCTTCTGCCAATATTTTCAATGTCGTTAACGATTAGCTGTGCGGAAGCAGAAAAATACCTCCCTCTCCATCTCAATTAAAGAGTTCATTGATACTGTTCATCTTTACGGGAGGAATGAAGTAGATCCGGCATAAAGGGGCTGGGCTTAGCTGCGGAGGGATACCCAGCCCTAGAGGAAGGCGATGAGAAGATCGGTGGCCGCCACCGCCGCCATTTTGGGCTGGGAGGAGGCAGCGGAGGGACTCGCTGCGCAGTGAGAGCACCCCATGGGGGGTGGTCCGGGCGCGGGGAGAGGCCGGGCCGAGTGGGCTGCCTGAAGTGGCTTCGCCGGGAGACGTCGGGGAGGGATACCGGGGAGGGTGAAGGTTGGATCTCCCCGGCGGAGCCCGGTCCTCAAAGCGTCCCGGCAGCCCCACAGCCTCGCTTCTCCCGGAGAGCGGGGTTCTATGGTAATTACCGTGTGTTTCCCGAGAGCCCTCCCAGGAGGGGAGAGACCACCGAGATGGGGCTCTCCTCTGCTGCACTTGCACAGAGGCGAGGATCCGAGGCCGGACTCCGCCAAGGCCTCTCCCCCCGCCCCCATTCGTCCTGGGAATGTGGCGGCCCGGCAGGCCAGGCGTAGCGGGCCCCCCACTCTTGACAGACGAGGTGGGCGCGACGCCGGGTTCCAGTGGCTGGCACCGCTGGGAAGGGCAGAGGTCGCAGCCCTGGTTCTCTCGGTTCCCCCCCCCCCCCCAGGCGTGGTGGTTCGCTGGAGGCTCCGGGGGCGGAGATCCGATGCATAGTCACCCCCACCCCCAACACCAAAGCCATCCTGCCACTCTGGCTGCGAAAAGTAACAAATCTTCGAACTAAATGTAGCAACCCTGAGTTCCTGTGGGACCAAGTGGATGGCGATGGGGGCACGTGGGAGCCTCTAGCTCCTCCCGTTTGGAGATCTCTGAGCGCTCTTGCCCTCAAAATCTATCCCGTCCAGTCCTGATCCCCAGAACGACCCGACCTCCGTACATCGCTCAGCCCACTTTGGAAACTCCTACTAAAGTGTGTCCTTACACTTCTCTTGAAAGTTTACACCAAAGGGACGGCGGGTGGGGTGGGTGGGAGTGTTTCTGCCTTTTGTAGGGTTGAGACATAAAATGATTCAGAATCGCCATTCAGAGTGGCTCAATTTTGGATGCTTCAGAAACATCTGTTTGCATTTTGAAATCCGAGCCATAATTTTACTAAAAACTTTTGGGAAGAAATGGCTGCCTTTCTAGAGGTGTAAAAGGAACTAATTCCAGTGTATTCTTTGTAAGACTCCACAATCTTTCCAATTTCAAGAATTTTTGTCCCACAAACTAGACAAGATTATTTTGTGTGCCACTGATGTATTGTTGCTAAGGGAATCTCTTCTGTAGATCTTGAAGCTACTAAAGTAGATAACAGATTTAAAAAAAAAAAATCATATAGGGTGTGGGGAGAGACCTGCTTTAAAAGAATAAACTCAACCTGAAAGTATAGTTGTACCAACTTCTTAAAACTTGAAGTTTGATGTGAAGTCATTGAATTGCAGCTTGTTTCCTACTGCTTGAAATCTAAATCCAGAGAGATGTGTGGCTCAGGGAGATCTTCAAATTATAGTTTGGCTAAAATGTCAGTTAAAATTATGAGTAGGTAGGCTCTGAAGTAGGAAGGTAACTGGACAGTAAACTTTTATCTTTCTGGATACTTTGAAGTGAATCTTATTACCAACTACGGAAGGTCAAATTCCTGAACTTTACTAGCAAGACCTGTAAAAATTTCTTGAGAAACAGAAGTACTTCCCCTAATAGTAATAGTTTTAACTTTTATGAGTGATAATTCTCTATCTTTAAAATTTTGTTCTCCATCCCTCTGACTTTCTCAGGAGAAAATGTTACAACTAAATTGCAAAAATAGGGTCACTGTTGACTTGGATACATTTTTCCTCTCTTTCTCTTTCTTTCTCTCTCTCTTTTTCTTTCTTTCTTTCTCTCTTTCTTTCTTTCGCTTCCTAGCAAGAAGCCCTGAGTTCAAACCCAAGTGCTTCTAGGGGTGGAATTGGGGGAAGGTTAAGCTAAAAAAGATACGATTTCACTGTGTAGTTCAGGCTAGCCTCAAACTCTCAATCTTCCTGCCTCAGCCTCTCAAGTTGTGAGATTGTAGGCATGTACTACCATACTCTTCTTCCCCCCCAGTTCTAGGCCATATTCACAGCCTCACACTCATCCTTAAGTATAGTTCATCTAAAATTTAAGCTGGGCACCAGTGGCTCACACCTTTAATCCTAGCTACTCAGAAGGCTGAGATCTAAGGATCTCAGTTCAAAGCAAGCCCAGGTAGGAAAGTCCAGGAGATACTCTTACCTCCTCCCCAAACCAAAAACCTGGAAGTGGAGCTGTGGCTCAAAATAGTAGACCAAGGAGTCTGGAGCAAATAAACTGGGGGACAGGGCCCAGTACTGGCACCAAAAAAAAAAAAAGGCACTGGTGGCTCATATCTGCAATCCCTGCCACTCAGGAGGCTGAGATCTGAGAATCATGATTCAAAACCAAGCTGTGCAGGAAAGTCATGAGATTTATCTCTCAATTAAACACTGAAAAGAAAAAACAGAAGTGGAGCCCAAGTGGTAGAGTGCTCACCTTAAGCAAAAAAGATGAGGGACAGTTCCCAGGCCTTGAGTTTCAAGCCCCAGAACCAGCATAACAAAATTCAAACACTCCGAAGTGTATGATGCACTTGGTCTGTAATTTGATCTTTGATATGTTCATTTTACCCTAGTCAAATGTACCACCTGGCGTGGTATATTTCTATAATCCCAGAAATTAGGCTAGACAGGAATATCTTGAGTTTGAAGCTGCCTACACATATAGCAGACCCTATATTAAAAACAAAAACAAAAAAAAACCAGGGGCTGGAAATATGGTTTAGTGGTAGAGTGCTTGCCTAATGCATGAAGCCTTGGATTTTCAATTCCTCAGTACCACATTAACAGAAAGAGCCAGAAGTGGCACTATGGCTCAAGTGGTAGAGTGCCAGCCTGGGGCAAAAGAAGCCCAGGGACAGTGCCAGGCTCTGCATTCAAGCCCCAGGACTGGCAAAAAAAAAAAAAAAAGGCAGAAAATACTAAGGATATAACCCAGTCTAACAGTGCTTGCCTAGCATGTGCAAGTCCCCAGCACTGACACACTTGGTAGGAGTCCAGTTAAATAGTGATAGAAACTGCAAAGGATTTTAGAGATAATGGGTGTTTTGTTTTTTTGTTTTTTAATTAAGAATCTATTGGAAGAGAATCCTAGGCTTGTGATTCATCCTCCATTGTGAAGTAATCTAGTTAAACCTTTGGATGCTACTTAGTGGTGACTGTACCAGGTGCAGAAATTTGTTACTCATTTATAAATGAAAGATCTTAAGGGTGACCCATAAACTTTTCCATTCTTTGACTTTAAAAAGTGGGGGATAAAGCCAGTTTGTTAATGGTCCTCTGGTCATGTACTGAGCGAAAACAGCGGACTGGAAGTTTGGAACTCCAAGTTCTATTTCTGTGTGTGCTGCTACTTACTTGGTTGGCTTGGCTAGAAGCCAAATCCTGACAATGAGGCCAAACTGGACATTTGTTGAGTCTGTTGTTCATCTGATATTCTGCCAGAACATCAACTTCCTCCTCAGCATGTCCCTTGCAGATGAGTTGATTTGTGTTTTTGCACAATTTTCAACCCTGTAGCATTCGATTCTTCATATGAAAATGTTATCAATTCTGTCTTTGTCATAAACACATTAAGAGTAACTACTCTTCAGTAGTTATGTAAACATCTCTCTAAAAGTTACTAGGACAGTTGGGAGGCCTGCCTTACCAAAGTATGGCCTTGGTTGTTGGACATTCCAAATTTTTAAGGCTGCCACATAGGCTGAATGAAGATCAACTCTCAGGTTGCTTAGTTGTTAATGTGAAGTCAACATTTCACATACTCGTGGCTGACTCCTTGGGAGGAGGCCCTTGTAAGTGGGATTCTGGGGTAGCAGTTAATTGTTTACAGTATTCCTCTTCAGGCTGAAGATGCTTGTTTTGAACTCTTTGGTTTTTGTAGTTAATTTCTTCCTCTCCTGTGTTTAGGTCCCAGTATCCTCTATTGTCTTTTTAACTGTTCAAGTATAGGGTTTGTTAAGTGCCCTGTTATAATAACTAGAGAGAAAGAACTAACCTAATTATATTCATTCTAGCCCCAAGTTTGGTCTTTTGCCTTTGCCCAAAAGTTGCACAAGGATTAGCCAGGTATGCAGAATTACAAGTTGAAACATGACATTTAGAACTGTGTGTGTGTGTGTGTGTGTGTGTGTGTGCGCGCGCGCGCGCGCGTGCGTGCACGCACACACTTGCTACTGGTGCTTGAACTCAGGGCTTTTGAGTTCTTGCTTGACTTTTTCACTCAAGGCTGGCACTGTCAACACTTGAGCTTCCTGCAGCTCTCTGGATGCTAGGACAAATTCTTATTGAGTAGCTTACAAAAGAGGTCCCCAATTATGTTGAATGAAGCACTAAATTCCCACATTTTCCTTCAAGAATGTACTTTTTCTCAATGAAGACCAGGGCTTTTAAACATTTCACACACACACAAAGCCAGTTAGATACTTCTAAAAGAATATGGCTTTGGGGCTGGGAAGGTAGCTCAGGAGTAGAGTGCTTGCCTTGCATGCATGAGGCCCTGGGTTCAATTCCCCAGTACCACATAAGCAAAAAAAAAAAGCCAGAAGTGGTGCTGTGGCTCAAAGTGGTAGAGCGCTACCCTTGAGCTGAAGAGCTGAGGGACAGCGCCCAGGCCCAGAGTTCAGGTCCCACGACCAGACCCCCCCCTCAAAAAAAAAATATGGCTTCAGATGAGAATTTACAATTCCCTTCTGAATTTATTTTCTTGAAAGAAAAAAAAATAAACCTAGCTCATCTGCTTTTGGTGACATATTGAAAGAAACATCACACTTCCTATTTCAAGACTTACTGATCGTTTACTGTAGCAGCTCAACTATTTGAATTTTGTTGGTGTGTAAAAGGGTTCAAGCCAGCCTGAGCTACATAGTAAGTTTCAGATGACGCTAAGATACAGAGAAAGGCCCTATCTCTAAAAAAGTAAAGAAAGAACACATAAAAACAAAAAAACCTGCTGAGTGCCGGTGGCTCTTAACTACTAAGGAGGCTCAGATCTAAGGATCGCAGTTCAAAGCCAGCCCTGGAAGGAAAGTCCCTGAGGGGGCTGGGAAAGTGACTCAGTGGTAGAGTGCTTGCCTTGCATGCATGAGGCCCTGGGTTCGATTCCTCAGCACCACATAAGCAAAAAAAAAAAAAAGCTGGAAGTGGTGCTGTGGCTCAAGTGGTAGAACACTAGCCTTGAGCTGAAGAGCTAAAGGGCAGCGTCCAGGCCCAGAGTTCAGGCACCATGACTTGCAAAAAAAAAAAAAGTAAAGTCCCTGAGACTCTTACCTCTAGTTAATAGCAGAAAACCGGAAGTGGTGTTGTAGGCCAAGTGGTAGAGTACTCGCCTTGAGCTGAAGTGCTCAGGGACAGTGCCCAGGCCCAGAGATAGCCATTTACAATTTCTGTATGAATAAAGTCAAAGCAAGATGCTGGTGTCTTATGCCTATAATCCTGGCTGCTCAGGAAGTTGAGATCTGAGGATCACAGTTCAAAGCCAGTCCAGGCAGAAAACTCCATTAGACTCATCTCTAACCAGAGAAACAAAAAGCCTGAAGTGAAGCTATGGCTCAAGTAGTAGAGCACTAGTTTTGAACAAAAAACCTCAGGGAAGCAGGGCACCAGTGGTTCATACCTATAATCCTCTGAGGATTAAGGTTCCAAGTCAGCCAGAACAGCAAAGAGTCTGTGAGACTCTTATCTCTACTGAACTACCAAAAAAGCCAGAAGTACAGCTGGCTCAAGTGGTAGAGTGATAGCTTTGAACAAAATAAACTCAGAGACAGCGCTTAGGCCATGAGTTCAAGTACCAGGATTGGCACACAAAAAAAAGGAAATTTTGGTAGAAAACTTGAGATTTTTGCATAAATTCATCATTCTAAGAAAATAAGAGTCAATGTCTTATTTCCAGGCAGAGTCATAATTCAAAGTCACATAGTAACATGAGAATTACTTAAAACTATATGAAGCCAGGGCTGGGAATGTGGCTCAGTGGTAGAGTGCTTGCCCAGCATGAAGCCCTGTGTTTGACTCCTCAGCACCACATACACAGAAAAATCCATAAGTGGTGCTGTGGTTCAAGTGGTAGAGTGCTAGCCTTGAGCACAGAGAGGCTCAGGGACAGTGCCCAGGCCCTGAGTTCAAGCCCCAGGAGCAGCAAAAAAAAAAACAACAAAAATTATCTGAAGCCAGCCCAGGCAGGAAAGTCCACAAAACTTTTTTTTTTTTTTTTTGGTCGGTCATTGGGCTTGAACTCGGCCTGGGCGCTGTCCCTCAGCTATTCAGCTCAAGGCTAGCACTCTACCTACTTGAGTCATAGTGCCACTTCTGTTTTTCTGGAGATGAGAAACTTCTGGTTGGCTGGGAAAGTGGCTCAGTTGTAGAGTGCTTGCCTCACATGCATGAGGTCCTGTGTTGGATTCCTCAGCACCATAGAAACAGAAAAAGCTGGAAGTGGTGTTGTGGCTCAAATGGTAGAGCACTTGCCTTGAGCTTAAGAGCTGAGGGACAGTGCCCAGGCCCAGAGTTCAAGCCCCATGACCGACAAAAGAGAAAAGAAACTTCTGGTTTATTGGAGATAAGAGTCTCATGGGCTTTGCTGCCCAGGCTGGCTTTGAACCGTGATCTTCAGATCTTAGCCTCTTGAGTAGCTAGGATTACAGACGTGAGCTACCAGTGCTGGGCTCCATGAAACTCTTATCTCCAGTTAACCACCAGCAAACTGGAAGTGGTACTGTGATAGAGCATTAAGTAGCCTCCAGCAGAATCGCTCAGGGACAAGTGCCCAGGCCCAGAGTTCAAAACTTATAACCAACAAAAACAAGGAAACAAAACTGTTTGTAGCCTAGCACCAGTAGTTCACATCTGTAATCCTAGCTACTCAAGAGGCTATAATCTAAGAATACTTGTTCATAGACAGCCCAGGCAGGAAAGTCTGTGAGACTCTTATCTCCAATGAACTACCAAAAAAGCTGAAAATGGATCTGTGGCAAGTGATATAGTGCTAGCCTTGAGCAAAAGCAACTCAGAAACAGTATATCCAGACCCTCAGTTCAAGCCCAGGACCACAAAACAAAAAATGAAATATTTGTATATTTAAAAAACAAAACTGAACTGAGTATCTCCTAAAAGAACATACACTTTTTTTTCTGCTGATAATGTATTTATGGGCTTTTCAAGATTCATTTGGAAATTTCATGCTTCTAATAGTTGTCTTGCTTAGGGATAGTATCTAAAATGAGAGGTTATCACTGCTGCATCCTTCAAAAGGAAGTAAGGCTCTACACTGTAAAGCCAGAGGGCACTCTTAACTGCTGCCTTTTCACCAGCCATTTTTTTCTAGGGCTGCTGCATGACGTCATAGCAGAAAAAAAGAAAAACATGAAGAAAACTATTTCAAATAAACATTTAATGTAATTTTAGGTCAAAGATAAAAACTGATCACACAGTATTTCCCCAGTACAAAAAATTAACAGGAAGTAGAGGTGTGATTCAAGAGGTAGAACATCAGTCTTGAGTGAAAAAGCCAAATGAGAGTGTGTGAAGACAAGTCTGCTCCCCCCCTCCAAAAAAATAAAAGAGGGTCTCAAGTGTTATCACTTGGTAGAATAAGACCAGCACAGTCCAGGATGAAGGCCAATTCCATCCTACTGCCATAGTTTCCCTTAATTTATTGATTAGTATATGCTTGCGCATCATAAAGTACATTTCAGTTCTTGGTGGTACTAGGTTTGAACTCAGTGGCTTGTGCTTCCTAGGCTGCTACTCTACCACTTGAGCTACACCACAGGTCCAGCTTTTTGCTGGTTATTTTCGAGATGGAATCTCACAAGGCTGGCCTCCAACCTTGATCCTTTAGGTCTCAGCTTCTGGTAAAGCACTTGCATCCTTGCAAGGGCATTTCACTCGAACTTTCCACCACCACTGTTGCCATTTAGTTGCAAAACAGCTTCTCAATCAGGGTTTCCCTTCTCAGCTAAGGAGGTTTTGTGTGTGTGCACGTGTGCACATGTGGACACCAGTACCTAGGCTTGAACTCAGGGCCTGAGCACTGTCCTTTGGTCCTTAGCTTATTCCATTCAAGGCTAGCACTCCACCACTTGAGCCACAGCTCCACATATTGTTGTAGGGAAACACTGATAAAGAGCAGGTGTATAGCCAGGCGCTGGTGGCTCACGCCTGTAATCCTAGCTACTCAGGAGGCTGAGATCTGAGGATCGAGGTTCAAAGCCAGCCCGGGCAGGAGAGACCGTGAGACTCGTATCTCCAATAAACCACCAGAAAACCAGAAGTGGCGCTGTAGCTCAAGTGGTAGAGCGCTTGCCTTGAGCTGAAGAGCTGAGGGACAGTGGCCAGGCCCAGAGTTCAAGCCCCATGACCGACAAAAAAAACAAACAAATAAACAGCCAACAGTACAAGTTAGGAGACTGAGAATATTGACTGTGGAGAATATATAAGATTCAGCCCCTGAGGACCTCATCTAGCTCCTTACCAGAGCTGTATAATTTTATTTGCAATGAGAGGCATTTTCTTATCTCAATTTGACCTTATGGAGAGGTGGACAGCTCCTTTTTTTTTTTTTTTTTTTTGGTCATGGGCTTGAACTCTGGGCCTGGGCACTGCCCCTGCACTCTTCAGCTCAAGGCTAGCGCTCTACCACTTGAGCCACAGCACCACTTCTGGCTTTTTCTGTGTATGTGGTGCTGAGGAATCAAATCCAGGGCCTCATACATGTGAGGCAAGCACTCTACCACTGAGCCACCTTCTCAACCCAAAATGTTTACTTTTATTTTATTTATTTGTCAGTCATGGAGCCTGAACTCTGGGCCTGGGCGCTGCCCCTTGGCTCTTCAGCTCAAGGCCAGCACTCTACCACTTGAGCCACAGTGCCACTTTTTTTTTTTTTTTTTAAGAGATCACTTTGTTAGGCAATTAGGCCAAATCCTTGGATACCACAGCCATTTCCTTTATAAATCCAATATTCTCCACCTTTAAACATTTAATATAAAGAACTTCCCCATAAGTTTCTAACTAGTCACTGCACTAAGAAAGCAAAACATTTACCAAGAGCCTCATGCAATAACTCCTAGCCTTTTTATGGAGAGAATGGAGGATTACTGAAAACTAACTTGTAGAAAGAAAATGAGTCCATCAGGATAGACATCCTAACAAATTAAACTTTGTTTGGTACTAAACTTTTTTTTTTTAATGTTGGGATCTAACTCAGGGCTTTGTGCTCAGCTTATTAGTAGCTTTGCCCAACAAGCAGCAGGATTTAGGCTTCTGATTTTAGCCACTTTCCACTCCCCAAAACACCCATTATTGGTTTATTTTTCCAGAATCAACAAAGCCAGCCAGGTGCTGGTGGCTCATGCTTGTAATCCTAGCTACTCAGAAGGCTGAGATCTAAGGATCATAGTTCCAAGCCAGCTCAAGCAAGAAAGTCCTTGAGACTCTTATCTCCAGATAACCACTAGAAAACTGGAAGTGGAGCTGTATCTCAACGCGGTAGAGGCTCTAGCCTTGAGTAAAGAAAACTCAGGGACAGTGTCCAGGCCCTGAGTTCAAAGTCTCAGGACTGGTACTATTGGCTCGTGCCTGTAATCCTAGCTAGTCAAGAGGCTGAGATCTGAGGATCATAGTTCAAAGTCAGCCTGGGCAGGAAAGTCCTGAGACTTTTATCTCCAATTAACCACCAGAAAACTGAAAGCGGCACTGTGGCTTAAGTGGTAGAGAGCTAGCCTTGAGCTGAAGAAAGAGCTCAGGGAAAGTGCCCAGGCCAAGTTCAAGACCCATGACCAACAAAAAAAGAAAAAGAAAACCAATGAACTACAAAGCAAACACAGTTAAATGTTGCAGATAATTCAGTATTTTACCTGACTGTATATTGTAGCATTCTGAAACCCAGAAGAAAAACAGATGGCAAACATTTTCTCATTTTTCACAGGAAATTTAGAATTCTTTTCTTTTTTTCTTTTCCTTTTTGCAGGTCCTGGAGCTTGAACTCAGAGCCTGGGCACTGTCTTGGCACTGTACTCTGTGCTCAAGGCTAGCGCTCTACCACTTGGGCCACAGCACCACTTCTGGCTTTTTCTGTTTATGTGGTACTGAGGAATCAAACCCAGAGCTTCATGCATGCTGGGCAAGCATTCTACTACTAAGCCACATTCCCAGCCCCAATTTTGAATTTCTTAAAAGACAAACTTAAGAATTTTGTGTTAACCCTTCAGAAGTTCTGTCACATAAATCAGTATTTTGAATTAGGTCTAGAAATCACACTGGAACTATTACATTTACAAATATTAAATTTATTATAACTAGAATTTATTGGTTCTCAGATTTGGCCACCTTATAGCTCGGTTTGAGGGGATTTCTCTTAACAGAAAAATGCATTATAATTTGGTCAAATTACACATTAAAAAAACTTTAAAAAGGAAAACAAGAAAAGCAACCCTTCAGTTTCACATAATTAAAGAACAGAAGAAAGCACGCAAAGCTACATCATAGCTAAATTTACCAAACCAACCAAAGCCGGAGGGGATTTTCTCTTCTGATTATGTCATAAAAAGGTCCACTGTCTTATATACACTTGTGTATAATGTTACATTCCAGCACTGTAAAAAGTCCCCCTTTCCCCCTCCCCCCAAAAGTTTACAGTCTAGTCTCCAAACTTGGAAAGCGGCGCCCGCTCCTGCTGCCGATGGAGTTCGTTCTCCGTCTGCAGCTGGAGGTTCTCGGCGCGCAGCCGGGCCAGCTCCAGCTCCAGCTCCCGCACGCGCGCGTCATCGCCACCCAGCCGCTTGCTTTCCAGCCGCAGCCGGTTGTTCTCGTCCTCCATGCGTGAGAGGCACTTCTCCAGCTCCAGGTACTCCTTGATGAGCTCTTGCTTGCTCATGTTCTGCAGGCTTTCCGCGTGGTACCGCTCGTAAGTCTCCGAGAAGTCCCGCTGCAGAAACTCGCTGCCGTCACCTCCCATACCATCGCTGCCCCCGTCCTCCTCGCCCGCCTCCTCCATAAAGTCCTCATCGCTGGTGTCGTCGGACTTGGCCGCAGCCCGCTTGGGATAGAGGCCGGTTTTGAGATCCGGCTCCTCTTGGTCGTGATCATCCATGAGGAACTGCGTGGTGTTGTAGGGCGCAACCGGTTGGCCCTTGGCGAACATCTCAGCTCGAATCCTCGAAGCTCGTAGGCTCTGCTTCTCGTCAAACTTTTTCTTCTCCTCCCAGGTCAGCTTGTAATATGGTTTCCAATGCCGCTTCTTCTTGGAGGGGCGTCTCCTATGTTTTTTCTTGCCCAGCTGCCTCAGCTGCTGTCCCCACGCGTCCTCGCCTTCAGCGGCGGGAGCCCCCAACTTGGTCTCGGGGTCAGGAACCGGCTGGGAGAGCGGCTCGGACGTCGGCTCCCCTCCCGGCGGCGGGGAGGCGCCGCCGGCGGACAGGTCGTCCCCATTCTGGCCTTTTTCGCCCGCGTCCAGGCAGCTAGATTCCGGACAGGCCTGGGTCTGCATGGGAGGCGGCTGGGGCTCCAGGCTCCCTTCTCCCTCCAGCCCCGGACAGCCGCCCGACAGGGGGGACGCTCTCGATTGCCACCTACCGTCCTCCTTGGGCACCCGCTCCTCCGCGCCCGGGGGGCGGTCAGGGTTCTGCTCCTCACGGACAGCAGCAGCACCTGTACAGTTGCTAGTTTGAGGCTGGTGTTGATATTCTGACAAGAGTGGCTCGGCCATGGCTAGTTAAGTCCTCCTCTTGAAGTTTGCAGTCCTTGTGGAGAAAAGAGGTTTATGTTTTAGAAAAATGCTCAGAAGTCCTCTTTAACCTGTAATTCCTCCAGTGACGACTTTGCGTCTTCCTGTCAGCAAACTCCCACTTGCAACTTAAAATCAAGTCAGCAAAGGGTTAAGCGCCTGCTGCGCGGTCAGCGAGCAGGTCCAAGGGTGCAGCGGCACCAACAGTAGTGTGAGGAGAAGGTGGGCTTCAAGCCTCCCCGCCGAGTGCCCCCACGGTCTACGAGTTGGTGGCAAGGAGATGCGGTTTAAGTCCAACGGGTTAAACTCACCCCGAAGGGGTTAAAACTACCCGATGACGCTGCCTCCGAGGGGCCGAATCCACAAAGGGTTAAATCCCCTGCCGCAGAGCCCACAAGGGGTTAAAGTCCCAGAGCCACCTCCTCCCACTTCCACGGGTGTCGCTCCAACCCGAGCTCTTAGTTCCCTAGGCCGGGCCAGAGCCTTAGCCGAGGACAGACAAACTCATCTCCCCTTTGGCTCGATGCTCTGCTCAGCTCAGTTCTCCTCCGCCTCCTCCTCTTTTCCTCCCTCCCTCCCTCCCTCCCTCCCTCCCTCCTCCCCCTTCCGACAGCTCCTCTTCCGCCTCCTCCCCCGACTTCCCCTCCCAACCTGCTTTTCCACCTGCCAACTTCCAACTGCTGCCTCCCAGTCCTCTGCACCCCTTTTATAGAGAAGCCTGTTCGCCCCGCCCATGCGCACGCGTAATAGAGTTCCCTAGGCGGGGAGCCGGGAAGCGTAGTCCTCGGCTTTCAAGCCCGCCCTCCTCGTGCGCCGTGCGACGTAGCCAATCCCTGGGCCCGAAGGGGGCGTCCCCCAGGCTGCCGCTTGCCTTAGCTTGTTCCTTGCTAGAGAAGCGTGGGTCCCCATTGGCTAAGACTTACTCGTCCCTCCAAAGAAACAAGACCAATCGAAGAGAAGATGGGGCGGGCTCTGGACCATACCATTCGGATTCAGGAATATGAGAACATTCCGTGACCGACGGGAGCCCACGCAGAATGTCTTTAAGAAAAGGTGTATTTTAAAGACTATTATCGTACCATGCCCTCGGAGGGAGGTTTTGGCGGTCACAAATATTTGTTAACAAAACTTAAAAATGGTTTATTCCCAAAAAGTAGTCCCTAAAGTGTAAAAGGATTAAAATCACATAAAGAGAGGTTGAACACGGCAGCAAAGTCCGGATTCGCAAGATTTACAGTAATAGCTTCAAGGCAGGTAGCTTGTCTCCTGAACGGACATTTGCGGAGGGATATTGTGCATATAATTCTCAAAAAACGAAGAGCGCAAGACGAAGTAAACAAATGATGAATAAAAAGTGCCGCCTTAAAGGGACAGCGTGACAGTTCGTTTCGTGAAGCCGCCACAGACTAGGCCTCGAGGGACGAGAGGGCGGGTTCGAGTCCCGGTGACGTCGGCCCCCGCCTACCCTGGGGACCCTCGGGTGAAAGTGGCTGGATCCCGGCCCCCCGCCAGGGCTTGGCGATTTCTTCCCGGTCCCTGAGGCCAGTACAGAACGGTCTACGACCAAACCTCTCCTGGGCCAGATGGAAAGCTCCATCCAGGTGGGGTTGAAGGAGTCGACCCCGGCCTCGGCTTCGGTCAAAGAAAATGGCCTCCCGAGGCCGGTTTGGTCTCTTCACTTCCGAGTCTAGGCAGAGTGCGTGCCCGCCGACGAGCGTCTTTATTGGGGAGGGGTTCAAAATGAATGAGTTTAATATGGGAGAAGGAGGGTCGTCCCCCAGGAGCCCTCCCTCCTTGGGCGCCTGGGAGGATGCAGGGCCCAAGGCTGCCCCGAGGTGGAGGCCTGGCCCCAGAATGCCTCTCAGGGTGCTAACCCAAGGTGGGGACCCCCGTTCTCCCCAGAAGCATCTTCCAGCCCTGGGACCCGAAGACCCCTCCCAAGACCTGGGCTTTAGGATTGCTGCTGCTCTTCTGTTGCACTCCTTGTATCACACATATTATTATTATTGTTGTTGTTGTTGTTATTGTTCCAACCCTGGTGTGCTGCATGATATTCCACGCCCAAAACCATTTGACCTCACCACGGCCACCAAGGCAGGCAGGGTAGGAATTATACCGTCTCCATTTTAGAAATGGGCAACCAGTGAAGACTTAAATCTCTTAAAGAGTTAAAGACTAGGAAAGGAAACAAGTGACTTGTCCAAGGTCACATGACAAGTGGTGGTTCTGACTGGAGTGCAGGGCTTTGTGACTCCTGTGCCATTTGTCTTTGTCATAAACACAAAAATGCTCTTTTTTTCCCCCCTCAACAACTCCAGATTGAGTTCTTTTTTCAATCCAACGGTTTCCATCTAATGTAGAACCAACCCCTTGCAGACGTATTTGACAGTCATTTGTTAAGAGGGCACAAAGATGAATAAAATGTCATCCTCACCTCCTGTTGTTCTTGGTCTATGTGGAGAAGCCTAACCTCGACGAGCCAAAATGACAAGTGATGAAAACCTCTACAGGAGCTTGTGAGCCAAGCCGCTGGCAGGTCAGGTTAGGAGATTACCGACAGGTGGTGTGGAGGGAGTGACTTCTTGGTCAGCTCTGAATGATAAAGAATATGGGAGCAAAGTAGCACCAAAGAAGGGTATTTTACCTTTCTGTCTTTATTTTTAAGCTCCTATATTACACAAACTAGCCTCAAACTTGTTACTACTACCTCAGCCTCAAAAAATGTTGGGATTAAAAGTATGAACAATCACTTCTAGCAGTAATTTATATTTGATTTGGTATTTTTGTTTTGCATACTAAGTTTGGATCCAGAGCCTTGTGCTTGCTAGGCAGGCACTTATCACTTGAGCCATGCCTCCATCCCCAGTATTTGTATTTGGGGAGTCATTATGTTGCCTAAGCTGGCCTTAAACTCCTGGACTTAAGTGATTCTCCTGCTTGGTCCTGTAGGTGGACTACAGACCTGCCACCTCACAGGCAAAGAGGAGCATTTTTTTTTTTGTCGGTTGTGGGGCCTGAACTCTGGGCCTGGGCGCTGTCCCTCAGCTCTTCAGCTCAAGGTGAGCACTCTACCACTTGAGCCTCAGCCCCACTTCCAACTTTTTCTGCTTATGTGGTACTGAGGAATCAAACCCAGGGCCTCATGCATGCAAGGCAAGCACTCTACCACTGAGCCACCTTCCCAGCCCAAGAGTAGCGTTTTATGAAAGGCAGACATCCCTCATGTGGGAAGTGAGGGATTGCCTAGGAATTTAGGAGTAGTCTATGGGGCAGAGGTGACTGGCAAGGGGGAAAGCAAGCAAGAATGGCCCCAGGGCATTTGGGTTTTTGGAAATGACTATCACAGCTGGTTTCCCTACACTTCTAGAAACTTAGGTCTAGCCAGGTACTGGTGGCTTTTGCCTGTAATCCTAGTTACTCAGGAGGCTGAGATCTGAGGATTGCAGTTCAAAGCCATCCCAGGCAGAAAAGTCCACACGACTCTTATCTCTAATAAATTACAAAAAAGAAAACAAAAAAGCCAGAAGTGGTTGAGGCTGTGGCTGAAGTGGTAGAGCTCTAGCTTTGAGCACAGAGAAGCTCAGGACAGCACTCAGGCCCAGAGTTCAAGTCCTAGAACAGGCCAGAAAAAGAAAAAGAGGCTGGGAATGTGGCTTAGTGGGAGATTGCTTGCCTAGCATACATGAAGCCCTGGGTTCAATTCCTCAGTACCACAGACATAGAAAAAGCTGGAAGTGGTGCTGTGGTTCAAGTGGTAGAGTGATAGCCTTGAGCAAAAGAAGCTCAGGAACAGTGCCCAGGTCTTGAATTCAAGCCCCAGGACTGGCAAGAGAAGTGTGTGGTGGGGGGGGGGGGGAGAAGAAATGTATGTCTATTTATCTGAATGAGAAATCTGCTCTTCTCTGTTTCTTTTCCATCTCTTGGGAGTGTCCAGGAGAGCAAGAACCAGAGGAAAAGATCTCTGTAGAGAACTTAACTGGAAAAGTCAAAGCCCTCCAAACTGCTACCGTATTTTCAGGCTTTAGAGGACTGGGGTCCCTCACTCCCTCCCCCTCCCAGGAGATTTGGAAGGTACATCTCTGAACCTAGCCTCAGTTTATTAGGCTAAATTGTAGGCTTTCATTTATACTATTAGGAAAGGGGTGATTGGAGTGATAGATTGTGGATTTCCAGAATTCTCTCAAACAAGATCTAGGTACCTCAATATTGGATGTGTTTGCAACCCTTTGCCAAGCACTTCATGTTTACTCTCTCCTTGTAAAATCCCCAGACCTCATCATGATGGAGGGGAATCATTCCTATTTCACAAACAAGGCAATCTTGCCTCAGAGCCTGGGCCTACTACAGCCAGCAAAAGGAAGAGCAGGCTTCAGTCTCTCCCTGCATCCTGGCACCAGTTACATTGCTCCTGCTGCCCTACCACTGACCATCACTATTGGGTTTATTCAGCCTCTCTGCTCGTGACCCTGAGCTGTGCCCTGTGGAGCTACAAATGCCTATGTAAGAGCTACCCTCTCTGCTTTGACAAAATTAAAGGTTAAGAATGGCCTAGACGCCGGGCGCTGGTGGCTCACGCCTGTAATCCTAGCTACTCAGGAGGCTGAGATCTGAGGATCGCGGTTCAAAGCCAGCCCGGGCAGGAGAGACCGTGAGACTCCTATCTCCAATGAAACCACCAGAAAACCGGAAGTGGCGCTGTAGCTCAAGTGGTAGAGCGCTCGCCTTGAGCTGAAGAGCTGAGGGACAGCGCCCAGGCCCAGAGTTCAAGCCCCAGGACAGACCAAAAAAAAAAAAAAAGAATGGCCTAGACTTCCAGCGAAGGAAATAATGGTCAAGGCTGGGGCAAACATGAAGGTCAGAGGCTGACAGAGGAACCTTCAGTCTGAGTGTCTCCCACCTGTGGCCTTCAGGATTATTCCTTCCTCACCCAGGGGCACAAAGGTCCTGGGGCCCAGGTAGCAGCTTTAGGGTAGTCAATGCTTCAGCAGCCCTTCAAGGCTTGAGACCCTGGCCAGGGGTCCAAGAGTCATGGGTTACCAGGAATGGCCAATTTGATGCCAAATACAGGCTTGTGGCTGGAGCAAGGAAGCTCCAGTAGGACGACAGGAGATCATGGGAGAGGCCAGGGTGGTTAGCCAAAGTCTGAAGGCTAAGCAGTTCATGAGGTCTTTATAGGCCATAACCACACCAACTGGGGCTCTGGATGATGCACGGCCCTGCCCTTCCAGAAAGTTCTCTGGGAGGGCCAGAGGTCATAGGAAGACAGCATCAGCTGAGGGTTCAGCAAGCACTTCTAGGATCAGGGGCTTGGTCCCCCTGTCTTATATCCAGAGATCAGAGCAGGAAGCAGCTGTCCTTCCATTCAGACTGGAACCCCAACCAATACCCCCCTCCCTCTCCAGTGTTATCCCTTCTACTCCCACCTGTAGACTTCCAGCCAGGACCAGGACCAGCCAGGAGGCCCACCCTGCACCCTGACTCCCTCCCAAACCCACTCGAGGCTGGTTTCCCTAGAGACAGGAAGTATTTCTCACAGGGAAACACAAGCAGCCTCTGGGGGGTACCACATCGCCCTGGGGAAGCCAGCAGGGCAGGTTCTCTTGCCCCATGCCCACACCCCCTACTTCCACTTCCCTCTCCTCTGTGTGGGGCACAGAAAACAGAAGATTGAAATTTTATTTTATTTGGTGAAACATTCATTTGCAAGTGAATCTTCAGTGAGGATGACCTGAGCTTGCTTGCTGTGTGTTTGTGTGTGTGTGTCTGTCTGTGTGTCTCTGTGTCTCCCAGACACAAGATACCCCAGTGTTCCCTCCTCCCAGTCCCCAGGTCTTTGCTCCCTTTCCTGCTCTGCTCAACCTTCCTGCCACCCTCCACCCTTCCAGCCAATCAGTCTTGCAGCCAGGCTCAAGTCCCAACTTGCCCTAGAGCCGAGCCTCCTCCGGGAGCAGCCAGCGGGGGTGGGAGGAGAGTTGAGTGACCCAGAGAAGGGTGAGATGGGCAGCACCACCCCGCTTATTGCCAACCCAGAAATGAGAGTCTGTGCACCATGATTGATTGTAGTCTTCCAGGGCAGCCTAGGCCTGGAGCAGGGGGAGCAGCCCTGTGAACTGCAGGGGAGAGTGGGGTCTTATGGGGTCCCTAGTAAGGAAAGGGGTGCTAAGGCAAAGGTGGATGGGAGGGGCGATTTCTAATGCTGTTCTAAACCCTAGTAAGGCTCAGGCAGAGCAGGACAGGGGCTCCTAGCCTCCTCCATTGCTGGAGACCTGGTCTTCCACAGTCACCTCTTCTGGGTCCGAAACTGTCGGAAGAGCCACTGGACAACGAAGGGCCACAGGAGCAAGAAGAACAACGTGGGAGCTGAGAGCCTGAGGGGCCAAGGCCGAGCCCGGGCTGGGGGTATCTGCTGCCAAGAGGGAGGGAGTCAGGGGCCAGCCTAGGCACAGCCCAGCCTTCTCTAGAAACCTGTTTCTGGAACTCATAAGGCTCATGTCTCTGAAGGTTGGGAAAATGAGTCTCACATGTATAGCATTAGCCTGTTGTATGTCATTTGACATGTTGGACTCCAGCTCCCTCCATCATGGTCCAAACCAAGGTTCTAGGAGAAGCTGGAGAGAGAGACTGGCTCCTGTGGGCCACAGTGCAACCATTCTGTTGTTGCAGGACCTGAGACCTGTATTATAAAGTATGTGCCCCCTATTTCAAAGGAGGACCCTAGGTACTCAGACATTCCTTTCTAAATAGGCTTTTCCTCTAGAAGCAGTTGATTCCAGGGGTGGGCAGGAAAAGTAGGGTGAAAATATGGGACTTCTTATACTAGAAAAGCAGAGTCATTTATACGAACGAATAAAGTTGCATTCTAAGGCCATAAGGACCTTGGCTTAAAAGAATCTCCATTGGCCGAAGTTGTGACAATCTGGGCACTGAAAAGAATATTTGGCCAAATGTGGCCTGTAATCCCAGCTTCTAGGAAGGTAGAGATCAGTAGGATTGCAGCTCAAGGTTAGACACAGCAAACAATTAGTGAGACCTCTCTCCCATCTCAACCAATAAGCTGGCTGTGGTGACACACGCATGTCATCCCAGATGGTATGAATAGAACTGTGGTCCAGGCTGGCACAGGCAAAAATTGGAGACCCTATCTAAAAAAAACAAAGAGGATGTGGCTCAAGTGGTAGAGTGCCTGGAGAGAGGGACTAAGTTCAAGACCCCAAGTTTAACCTGAGCACAAAAATAAAATCAACCAGGGCTGGGAAGGTGGCTCAGTGGTAGAGCACTTGCCTTGCATGCATGAGTCCCTGGGTTTGATTCCTCAGCACCACATAAGCAAAAAAGAAAAAAGCCAGAAGTGGTGCTGTGGCTCAAGTGGTAGAGTGCTAGCCTTGAGCTGAAGAGCTGAGGGACAGCGCCCAGGCCCAGAGTTCAGGCCCCATGACTGGACTCAAAAATAAAAAATAAAATCAACCATTACCAGTGATCTTAATACTGAATATAAATTCAGGAGTTCAGATTAATACTCAAGATAACTAGAGCTGGGCACCAGTGGCTCATACCTGTCATCCTAACTACTCAAGAGCTGAGAGCTGGAGGACCTCAGTTCAAAGCCAGCCTAGGCAGAAAAGTCTTTGAGACTTCATCTCCAATTAAACCAACAAAAGGCCAAACTGGAGGCATGTTTCAAGTGGTAGAGCACCAGCCCTGAGCAAGAAAGCTGAGAGCAAAGGGCCCTGAATTCAAAACTTGGCATCTGTATACACACAAAAGAAAAACAAACAAAAGCATAAAACTTGTCATCATTAAGAAAGTTTTCAAGTCAATTCCTTACTCTAAAAATAGATAATGAAGGGCTCGGCTAAAGCACTTGCCTTGTATGTGAGAGGCCCTGGGTTCAATTCCCAAGACCACATAAAACAACACAAAATGAGGCTGGGAATGTGGCTTAGTGGTAGAGTGCTTGCCTAGCATGCATGAAGCCCTGGGTTCAATTCCTCAGTACCACATAAACAGAAAAATCCAGAAGTGGTACTGTGGCTCAAGTGTAGAGTGATAGCCTTGAGTAAAAGAAGCTCAGAGACAGTGCTCAGGCCCTAAGTTCAAGCCTCAGGACTGGCAAAAACCAACAACAACAAAAACCCCCACCGTATCCTACCTATCCATTAGAAACTGTATTTGAAACTCTATGGGGAAATGTTAGCTAATAAATGTCAGAGAAACAATGGAATTAAAAAAATCATTTGTGGGCTGGAAAGGTGGCTCAGTGGTAGAGTGCTTGCCTTTCATGCATGAGGCCCTGGGTTCAATTCCTCAGCACCACATAAGCAAAAAGAAAAAAAAACCGGAAGTGGCGCTGTGACTCAAGTGGTAGAGCGCTAGCCTTGAGCTGAAGAGCTGAGGGATAGCGCACAGGCCCAGAGTTTAGGCCCCACGACCGGACACCCCCCCGCCAAAAAAAATCATTTGTTTGCAACTGCTAAATCATTATTCAAAAGTGATCAATTGTCAAATACTGAGAATCAGATGAAGTTGATTTGGACCTGATCCCTTGGCTCAGAGAACTTGACTTTACATAGGTGATATGAGACAGTTACCCCTATATTCATGCCAGCAGTCTACATTAGGACCACTAGTGGTGGGGATCCAGATAATATATGCCCCTTGTATGTAACAAGCAGAATTCTGCTGGAATCAGGCCCAAAATGTTGAAACAGATCCTAATCCACTCTATCTCACATCTAGTTCACAGGAAATACAGTGTATGCAGGAATCAGAGGTGATCAGACAGAGGTGGAACATTCTAAGAGGACCTCTGCTCAGCTTGGTCAGCAGATCAGTAGCAAAGGAAAAGACTGGTCTAGATTAAAAAACTTGACTTAGGTTGGGGTGTTAGCTTAATGGTAAAGCACTTGCCTGGTATGCTTGAGAAACTGGGCTCTATCCATAGCACTACAAAAATATGATAATAATAATCATAAGCAGCAGCCAGGTACTAGTGGCTCATGCCTGTAATCCTAGCTACTCAGGAGGCTGAGATCTGAAGATCATGGTTCAAGGCCAGCCCAAGAGGAAAGTCCATGAGACTCTTACGTCCAATTAGCCACCAGAAAACCGGAAGTGGTGCTGTGGCTCAAGTGGTAGAGCGCTTGCCTTAAGCTGAAGAGCTCAGGGTTAACGTCCAGGCCGTGTTCAAGCCCCATGACCGACCAAAAAAATAATAATGACACATAAAGACAGAAGAAGCAGTTGCAAGGTGTGGTTCCCCCACTGGACCACCAGCAGCTGGAAAATGCTGTCCAGGACAGCTGGGAAAATCTAAAGTTGGACTCAATTTTGGTGCTATTAAGGAATAGACTGTGTGGGATAAAACAGTGTAGACTTGAGCTAGGTAATAGAACATTTGTATTTTGAGAGACGTAAACCTAAGTGTTTCAGGGTGGAATATTATAAGGATTATAATTACTTGAAAAGCCTCAGCACTTCAAATTGGTAGGAGAAAAACAACACTGAAAAAGAAAAGAATATCCTGTGGGGGGAAGGGCGGCAGTGTTGAAACCTCTGTGGCTTTTAGCCATGGTGCTCAGTGGGTTAGGGTTCACCCCCAGGATCCCCCACAGAGAGCCCTCTTCTGTTCCAGCCACCCAGGCTTCTCACAAACAGATCACTCCAGGGCTGCAGGTGTGATTCAGGGAGTACAGGCTTGCCTGGTATGCACAATGATCTGAGCTCAAACATCAGTACATTTAAAAAAAAAGGAAGGAAGGAAGGAAGGAAGGAAGGAAAGAAGGTAGGAGAGAGAGAGAGGAGAGAGAGAGAGCGAAATATGCCAGAATTGTGAGAACCAGTATAGGAGGTAGGCCTCACTCAGCTCTATCACTTATGTTATTAATCCTAATAATACTAATGGACCCCATTCAAGGAGGCCTTTCTGTATACTGGGCACTATTAAAGCACCTAGCATTGTCTTAGGCCATGGCAGCCCAGTGACCTTCCCCAATCTGTGTGCCCTCAGGCAGCCTTTCAGAACCTCCGTTTCCCCATCTGCCAAGGGGAGAGGAAAGAAAAAGAAAACCTGTCATAGGGTCACTGTGCAGAACCAATAAGAATATGCAAGTAAATGTTTGGTATACAGCTGAGGCCTAACAATGACAACTGATTTTTCTTTTTTTTTTTTTGGCCAGTCTTGGGGCTTGAGCTCAGGGCCTGGGCACTGTCCCTGAGCTTCTTTTGCTCAAGGCTAGCACTCTACCACTTAAGCCACAGTGCCACTTCCAGCTTTTTCTGTTTATGTGGTACTGAGGAATCGAACTCAGGGCTTCATGCATGCTAGGTGAGCACTCGACTAAGCACTCTACCACTAAGCCACATTCCCAGCCTGACAACTGTTAATTATTCTGTAGGAGCTGGGGTGAAACAAGATGAGAGATGAAGGGGTAACTGTTTGAGGGGAGAGGGGTCAATGCTAAATCAAGGGATGGGAGTTCTGGTTGAGGGGCAACAGGGACCCCAGCCCATTGCAAAGGGCAGACACACTTCATGGCCTTTCTGCCTCGTGGGATTGGCCTCTTACTGGGGCTTCTCTTGGACAAAGAAGAGCCAGCAGGGAAGGGTCTCCTTTCTTGGCAGACTTTTCTTACTCTCCTAGAAGAAAGACCTCCTAACCTGCAGCAAAGGCCACACCATTCTCTCTACACAGCTATGGGAAGGTAGGTAAAGGTATGGGACAAGGACAAACATGGCTGGACCAGGAGTCCAGAGTAATGACCCAAAGTTTTGCCCATAATCTGGCCTCAAGTTTCAAGTGATGGTTATGTGGGGTGGGGTGGGGGAGATCTCACCTGCTTAGGGGGCCGGGGCTTGCTCTCTAGACTCTGAAGTCTCCCCTGGACATCCTGCATGCTCTCCTGCAATGCCCGAACTGTCCCCATCAGCCATTTGTCCAACTCCTGGGGCCCTAGCAGACTGCCCCTCAACATCTCTGTGGAGCATTAGAGACACAAGGAAAAGCACTCAGGAAGCAGTTCAGTTACTGGCCAGAGGGACACAAGTAAGGTAGTCTAGCACACAGCTCCATCCTTGGATGGAGTGGCTTACTCATGTCATTCTAGCTACTCAGAAAGCTGATATCTGAGGAGCACAGTTTAAAACCATCCCCAGCAGGAAAGTCCATGAGACTCTTGCCTCCAAGTAACCACAAAAAAACAAAAAACCCCAAAAAAACAAAAAAAAGCCAAGCCGGGTGCTGGTGGCTCACGCCTGTAATCCTAGCTACTCAGGAGGCTGAGATCTGAGAATCACAGTTCAAAGCCAGTCCGGGCAGGAAAGACTGTGAGACTCCTATCTCCAATAAACCACCAGAAAACCGGAAGTGGCGCTGTAGCTCAAGTGGTAGAGCGCTCGCCTTGAGCTGAAGAGCTAAGGGACAGCGCCCAGGCCCAGAGTTCAAGCCCCACGACCGACAAAAAAAAAAAAAAGCCAGAAGTGGCACCGTGGCTCAAGTAGAGTAGTAGCCTTGAAATGCTCAGGGACAGTACTCAGGCTCTGAGTTCAAGCCTCAGGAGTGGCGCGCGCGCACACACACACACACACACACACACACACACACACACACACACACACACACACACACACACACACACACACACACACACACACACACACCACAATTAGGAAACAGGAGAAGAGCTAAGGGCAGGGACTTCGCCCATTCAGTCAGGTGTCTAGCCAGATAGAGGCCACTCTCTAGTGCCTGAGATGGACTTTTACCTTTGCCTAGGAGGACAACCAAGGAAAGTCCAGGGGGTGCTAGGACCACAGGGAGGGTGAAGGGAAAGATCAACAGGAGCTCACCTTTCTCACTGGGGGATTCACTGGGGGACTCGGGACTGGTTCTGGTTTCAGGCTCTCCTCCAGCTGCTCCCCTATGCTCAGCCCAAACCTGCTGAGATGAGTCCCAGGTCCCAGGGTGGGGCTGGAGTGAGTAAGGCAGGATAGGGTAGGGTAGGGAAGGGAAGGGAAGAGAAGGGAAAGGAAGGGAAGGTGGTGGGGGTGGGTCTCACTAGCTCAGACTCCAGCTGCTCCAGGGAATCACAGAAAACCTCCAAGTCCAGGTCTCTGGGTGGCTGGGCCTCTGGGAAGAGGAGAGGAAGGGTTACTGCCAAGAGAGAGCTATTGGAGAGAGGGGAAGAGTATACAGGTGGGTGGCAACACCTGTTCAGGAGATGCTAGAACTCCTGCCAGGGCAAGAGTGAGGCTCTGCAACAGACTCCGGGCCTACTTGGCCTTGGGAGCACAGGAACTCTCAGCTTCCCTGGGGATGAGGCCTGAAGGGCACCCAGACTCCTCCCTTCCCCTCCTGGAGATGCCCCCCACCAGGCTGAGTCTCTCCTTCCTGCTCAAGCACAAACCTCCATGGGAGAATGCTGGGTCCCTGGAGTGGCATCGAGGCCCATCTTCTCTATTCTGTACCTGGTCTTTCCAGCCTGTCAAGACACATCATTCAGAGGTGGGGCAGGGAAGTGTTTGGCATCTTCAGTGAGATAAAATCCCTCATCTCCATTCACCATGGACAAGGCCTGATAATGTCCAGGGGGATTATCTGATGCCTCCTATCTCCGGCACCCCCAACATAACAGTCCTCCCAACCTAGTTCACTGGGATCTTACCTGTTTCTCTTCTCAGGAAGGTTTCTGGGGGCTTTGGCATGTCAGGGATCACCTGGTACAGGGGCTCAAAGTAAGCAAATGCATCCTCACCCACCTCACTTAGGGGCACAGTGTCAATCACCTGTGTGGGAGGAGTTAATTTTCTTATAGGGTGGAATCAGACTCTCCCATCACCCCAACCCCACCTTCTTGGGCTGGGCTTCTGCCCCATCACACATATCCACCTTGTACCCAGTCAGGATCAGGCAAGCAAGGGTGGAAGACAATGGGATGGTGGTGATTCCCAGAGGACTACCAATGAATAGGAAAAATGGAGGTCAGCACTGGAAGTCGGAGGGGCAGGCCACCTGGTTGGAAACTTAGAGACCGAGAATGGCAGCCCTCTCTCTACCTTCTGTGCCACCAGCTTCATCTCAGTGATGTAGGCAGACATGGCCTCCTCCCTGCTCATCTTGCCCAGGCTGTTCCAGGCATCCCTGGGGGATGGAGGGCAGAGGGTTGTGAGCAGGCTCGGTGAGAGCTGAAGTAGTTTGCTCAACAGATAGGATGCTCACCACTTGTATCGTCCAATGGGGTCCCAGAAACCAGGCCGGGGCACTAGGCAGGGCCCCGTGGTCGCTTGCTTGTAGTAGCTGTAGAATCTCAGCATCTCTTCATAGGAGGGGCGGTAAGAGCCTGGGCAGAGGATTGAGAAGTGGAGCACACAGCATGGCCCACCCAGCCCCAAGAAGATGGAGGTGAGGGGGAACCATTCTTGAAGAGAGCACAGATGGGGAAGTCCCACAACCCTGGCAGGGACTTGTCAGCAAGCACTGCCATGATGAAAGGGCCACTTGCTCCTCAAAGTGTGACCCCCCCCCGGCATCCTGAACCCCCAAATGCAGTCTCACCATTCTTAGGCAGGTTCTGAATGACGCTGACAGCAGCGCGGAACTGCTTGTGGCAGTCGGGCTCTTCATCCTCAGTCCCCATGCTGCTCTGGGCCTTGGAGCCCTACTTCGGAGCGACTCCAAAAACAGACCTGAGGGTTATACCCGGCGGTATGTCACCCAGAGGTGCAAAACTAAACTGTGAGATCTGGCCCCGAGGTGGCCAGAAGCTGCAGCCATGGGGACTCCTTTTCCTACCTTAAGACAGGTGAGTGGGGCCAGGGTGTCAAGGGGCAGGTAGTGAGGGTCGCAGCGCCAGACCCCGTCTCAGCTCCTGGACAGGAGAACATACAAGCGAGGCGGAGTCAGGGCGGGGCCGGCGGCTTCCCAGCGTGCCCCCCAGCACCCCGGCACTCGCCCGGACACTTACCCCGCTGCACCCATCTGGGTCCTCGCTCACCACTTATTGGTCGGTGGCTTCCGATTGACCTCAGGGTCCAGTGTGGCAGGGAAGGGAAAGCCGCACTAAAGGGAAATTTTGAGCCAATCAGAGGTACCGTTTCACATTCGGTTTCTATATCCTCACCACTCAGAGTGTCCCTTTCAAGATTATGCAAATAGACTCGCGGTACCTCACCCAATCAGGAGATGCTAATCGTATTCCCCTCCCTCCCCCCAGCGTCAGAGGAAGGTGGCAGCGCCCTCGAGTGGACATAGTGAGTGTCCGCGGAGTTCTCGCGCCCCCTGGTGGATACTCACCAGAGCCGATCAGCCGATCCTTGGCGGCGGTTCTGAGCCCCCCCCCCGCCCTCCCGCCAACTCAGCTCTTCGGATTCTTGGGCGCGATAGGAACAGAAAATTAAAAGTCAGGATCAGGGACCTGGAATTCTGAAGGCAGGACATCGAAGTCGAGTTTGGGAAAGCATATGAGGCAGGAGAATAGAGAGGAAAGGTTATTCTTGGAGGATGGAATTGAAGAATCAAAATCATAGAGGAGGCTGGCTTTTACCCAGGGGAAAAAAATCAGGATCTCAGAGTGGGTGGGGACCCAGGCAGAGTCTGTGGGTGGGGATAGCTGAGGATAGGGTAGATCAGGGCAAGTCGTCCACAATCCTAGACCAGGAGAATCCGCTTTCCGTGCGGGAACCGCCGCGACTGGCAGCCGCCGAGGGGCAGGGTGTGCCAGGCTCTCCATCCGGACCCAAGGGTACCTGCTGCGAAAGCTCGCGGCCACCTGGACATCCGCCCTTCGGCCCCCAGGGGCACGTTGGACCCAGCCGCCAGCACAGGCTGACGTCACGGACACCCTACACAGAGCGCGGTGGCCGTCCCGGGACCGTGAAACTGGGGGTACCAACCAATCCACGCTTAGAACCCCAAAACTGATTTCTGGGACTCCAGATTTAGTGTCACCTCATTCTCCAGAACAGTCAGCTAAGGGGCTTCCACCACTAAGGGGCGGGAACTCGCCTGGATCGGGGAGGTCAATCCAGTGACGTCACTGCCAAAGCCTCCGTGCCCCCCTCCCCCTCGCTTTTGGTTTTTGTGGGTTCTCCGGGCCCGAAGACCTTTAGCCCAAGACGCGCCACCCAGACCCGACCCCTGTCTAGCTCTTGATGGTGCCGAACAGAGGAAGGTGGAGTGGGGGTCTGCGTCCACACGGAGGGTCTCAGAAAAAGGGAGTGTGTACGTGGAGGGTGTACGCCCCTTTGGGAGTCGCCGCCCGCCCCCCCCCCCCCCGCCGGGGTCTCTGACCACCGATGGGGCGGGGATCGGAAGATTGCTCGGGAAAGTGGAGGGCGAACTCACGATCGGGGGCGAACGCGGAGACTCGGGGAGGGGGTCCTCACAGCTCCAGGCCTGGGGTCCCCCGCCCCGCCCGCTCGCCTCGCCCCGCCCTCGCCCCGCCCCTCCTTCCACCCTGGCCCGCCCTCTCCCTCCTCCCGACGCCTCCTTCTCCCGACTCGCCCGGCGCCGCTAAGTTTCTCGGCTCCGGACCGCGCACCCAGCCGGGGCCGGGCGCGAGCCGAGTCCCCGCCGCCCCGTCCCCGCGTGCCCGCGCGCGGACCCAGGGTCCGGTCCCGGCCCCCGCCGAGCCATGCTGTGCGGCGGCTGGAGGAGGTGCCGCTGCCCGCCCGAGGAGCCCCCGGTGCCGGCCCCGTTCGCCGCATCCCCCCTGCGCCAGCCCTCGCCCGCGTCCCCGGACGGCGGCACCAGGAGGCCCGGCCCGCGGGCCCTGAAGAAGATGGGTCAGTGAGGCGCGGGGCGGTCCGGGGTGGGCGCCGGCTGGCCCCAGGGGCCCGGCCCGGGAGGGGCTCGGCGTTCCGGCCAACCGTCGGCTTCCCAGCTCCTCGGGTTGGGGCACTGTGTTGGGAATGCCAGCACTACCCCCAGTGGAAGTCCTACCTGGGGTCACCCGAGGTGCCCAGTGTCCATTGCTCCCCACTAGGAGGCGCCCATGCGGCGTGCTGGAGCTGGGATTTGGGCCGGGGGGGGGGGTATGTTTGGGGTCGCCGGAGGGGAGGGGGTCAGGCAGAGAAAAGCAGGAAAGTTTTGGGGTATCCCTCACCCCCCTCCCAGCAGCGTCTAGGAGGGTGTGTGGGTACTCCAGGGCACCTGGGTTCCCAGCGGCTCACGGGAGGGATGAGCTGTTTGCGGCTGGCCTCCATGGAGGAGGCTGGCCTCTCTAGGGAGCCCTTCAACCTTGGGGGTCCCCCGCAGCTGCCACAACAAGGCGCTGGTGGGCCTGGCCTAACTAGAGGGAACACTGTCAGAAACTCTAGGTCCCCAGCTCAGGAGTAGAGTAAGGAATATTCTGGAATGTACTGGAAAGTGAAGGAATGTACTGGATATTGGACATTAACCAGAAGTCTCTGAGCATCGGGGGGCTGTACCTGACAAGTGAGGGCATGTCATCCTCCTCACCTCTCTGGGAAGTGAGTGACATAATCCCCATTTGACAGATGATGAAACCAACTCAGAGAGTCCAGGAATTTGTCTATGACCACACAGTGAACAAAGGATGCTCGGGCTGGGCTCCACTGGACTCTCAGAGTCTGGGCAAAGTGGGACTCAAGATGTAAAGAGCTAGCCAGGCACTGGTGGCTCACACCTGTAATCCTAGCTACTTAGGAGGCTGAGATCTGAGGATGACCGTTCAAAGCCACCCTGGGGAATGAAAGTCTGTAAGACTCTTATCTCCAGTTAACCACCAGAAAACCAGAAGTGGCACTGTGGCTCAGGTGGTAGAGCGCCTGCTTTGAGCTGAAGAGCTGAGGGACCAGAGCCCAGGCCCAGAGTTCAAGCCCCACAAAAGACCAAAAAGGTTGTAAAGAGCTGTACACCTGAAGCAATCTATGTGTTGAACTCAGGACTGGGTCTCTTTCCCTGAGCTTTTCTGCTCAAAGCAAGTGCTCTACTACCTGAGCCAAAGCCCCATTTCCAACTTTTTGGTGGTTAATGAGTCTCAGGGACTTTCCTGACCAGTTTGCCTTTAAACCATGATCCTCAGAGCTCAGCCTCCAGGGTAATTTAGGATTACAGGTGTGAGCTATGGGTGTCCAGCAGAACTGCACATTTTGAGCCAGAATTCAGTGTTCCCATTGCTAGCCTTGCCTTCCCCGACCCGCTGCCCCTTCCTGTTATGTGTTCCCCTTGAGTTTGCTTCACACTGACTGTTCTGAGCCCTGTGCTGTTTACAGAAACCTAAGATGAGATCTCTGGTTTGACCTCCATTCAATCAAGCCTGTGGCTGCCCTGTGTGAATGCCTGTGTGCTGTGTGTGCGTGCGTGCGTGCGTGCATGCGTGTGTGTGTGTGTAAGTCAGACAATGGATCCATGGAACAAGACCTGGGAGGGGGTTAAGTGAAATGCTGGGGGCCCTGCTGCACCCCAGAACTGGAGGGATCCTGGAGTGGACCAAAAATGAGCAGGTGAGGGCTAGATCCTCAGCCCTCCTCCCCCATGGAATTATAGACTTCATTTGGAGGACAGCAGGGCCCCCAGAAAGATCTGTGGCAACAATAATGTGACTGTGGTTGTGAGTTATGGGCATCCACAGGAGTTAGGATAAGGGGTGGTGGGGGCTCACATTTGGGCTGGTATAAGGGAGGTAAGTTCCAGAAGCCTCTAGGAGATAAACTGAACTGGCTCTGTAATGGGGGTCTTTCTCTGGGCTTAGACACAGTGTGGTTTGGGGAGGGGGGCACATGGACAGGTGACCCGCGCTGAGCAGGCTGTGGCTCTGTGGAGCAGAAGTAGATCTGGGACTCAGCCCCTACTGGGTGAAGGATGCTGCTGAAGACTGAGCTGAGGCTGGGACCCGAGGCTCAGGCACGAGGCTGTCTCTCCCATGCCTTCTTGCTGAGCCCCATCCTCGGAGGCCACAGACAAGAATTCCAGTCTTGCCCTCAGGCACCCCACATAGTAGGCTGAGACTTCCAGACACGTAATTACTGCAGCACCCGACTCAGCAAGCACCCTTCCACTGAATAAGACTGCCCAGGAGCGCAGGGCACCTCGCCAGGGTGACACTATCGGGAACTATGTGGGTATTGGAATGTTATCTGTCACTAGCCTGTCCTGCTGAGTGACTGCTGAGTGACCACTGAGAGAGGCATGAGTCTGTGGACAATGCCCCTCTCCCAAGTTATGCTGAGCCAGGGTCAGGGTGGGGACAAAACCCGGGGCTCCTGGGGTTCCCACCCACGTAGTGTCAGCTCCCTGCAGAGCCTCTGCTCCTCCCCAGAGACTCCTCATCTCCAAACCCCGCCTCTGCCAGCACCACACCTCTTGGGCAAAGAGAGAACAAATCTTATTTCAGATCAGGTCAAGGAACTGGGGCAAGGAGAGGCTCAGAAGGACCCTAGGGAAGAACTAGGCCTTTAGTGCCACATAAGGGAAGCAGGCCAAGGAGGGATATTGGGGAGACCTCACTGAATGAGAGCCAACCGTGCAGTCCTAGGCCAGACCACTGACGTGGCAAGAAACATTAGAGGGTATCAGGAACAATGTTGTCCCTATCTTGACTTAGTCCTCATCCTGCTTAGACTTCAGGTACCCCAAGGGGAAACGTGTATCCCCAGTGACTAGAGAAACTGGACACAGAGGGGTGAAACCTGCACCCAGGCTTGGCATATGATGGAAGGATTGAGGAAGCATTTGGGGACTGGAGATGTGGCTTGGTGGTAGAGTACCTGCCTAGCAAGTGTGAGGCTTTGCGTTCAAACCAAACTGGGCCTAGGCACTGTCACTGAGCTCTTTTGCTTAAGGCTAGCACTCTACCACTTTGAGCCACAGCACCATTTCCATTTTTCTGGTGGTTAATTGGAGATTAAGAGTCCCATGGACTTTCCTGCCTAGGCTAGCTTTGGACCATGATCCTCAGATCTCAGCTTCCTGAGTAGCTAGGATTACAGGCCTGAGCCACCAGCGCCTTGCCTCAGCCCTGATTTTATTGTGCACTTTTTTCCTTCCTTTCCTCCCTCCCTCCCTCTCTTCCCTAACCTCTCTTTCTCCACTCTTCTTTTCCGTCGCCTTTTGGTTTTATGGTAGTTTTGTCGTAGCAGTATTGGGCTTAAACTCAGGCCTTTTCCACTGAAAGCTAGTACTTGAAGGACACACCTCCACTTCCAGCCTTTTGGTGGTTAATTGGAAATAAGAGCTTCATAAATTTTCCTGCCTGGGCTGGTTTTGAACTTCAATCCTCAAATCTCAGCCTCCTGAGTAGCTAGGATTACAGGCATGAGCCAACAGTTTCCAGCTTTTCTTGATTTTTAGACTAAGTCTTGCCCAGGCTGGTCTCCTGCTTCAGCCTCCCAAGTGCTGAGATTACAGGTGTTCACCACCACACCCAGATCAACGGTGCTGTTTGTTGCAAGATTTAACGAGTTCTAATTAACACCAGTATAGTACTGTCCTAAGTACTCTTTGTGTATTATCTCCTGGAAAGTTCCCAACCTCTAGTGGTAGGCTTTACCATGAGTATCTTTTTATAAATGAGGAAACTGAGGCTGAGGATGCTGGATAACTTGCCCAAGGCTCAGAGACAGAGATTTGATCCTTGGCAGTGTAAACCCAAGTCCAGACTCCTAATACAAGAAAGGAAAGACTTGTGTAGGAAGGGCATGCTGCTCTTCTCTGCCACCCTATGGTAGCACAGCCAGCATTCAAGGGTATGTATCCCTTGTCTAACGTAGAAGATGCCAGCTACATCTGACTCTCAGATGAAAAACAGATAGTTTGGAACATATTTTTCTCTGTCTTTCTGTCTATATCTTTCTGTGTGTGTGTGTGTGTGTGTGTGTGTGTGTGTGTGTGTGTGTGTGTACCTGTATGTGCTGGTTTTGAACTCAGAGTCTGTCCTTGAGCTTTTTTGCTCAAGACTAGTACTCCACCACTTGAGCCACACCTCTACTTTTGGCTTTTTGGTGGTTAATTGGAGATAAGCGTCTCACAAACTTCCTTGTTTGGCTTTGCTTTGAACCTTTGAGCCTTAGACCTCAGCCTCCCAAGTTTCTAGGATTATAGATGTGAGCCACTGATGCCCAGCTCTCCTCCTCCCATTTTTGTAGTGATCCGGAGCAGCCTAGGGCTAGACTAGTACTCTGCCACTGAGCCACACCCCCAGCCCAATGCAACAGAACCCAAAAGTGTTTGCTATTTGTCTGAAATTCACAGGTAACTAGCACCCTGGGTTTCATCCAGCCATCCCATCTCCCCAGCTCTGTGCCCTGATGCTCCGCCCAGACCCCTAATCCCCCCAATAGGCAGAGGGCTGAGTAATCATAATCTTGTCCCCACCCCTCTCCCTTCTGGTCTGCACATACCACCAAATGCCCTGTGGACAACGGGTCTCTCCTGATGGCTGGCAAGGGACAGCTCCTGAAGGGTGAGTGAGGCTGGCAGTGTGGAGGGGGGTATCTTCAGAGGATCTCACTCTAGCAGGGGCCTGGCTGGAGCAGTGGGGAGGGCTGTGCAGGGCCGCTCAGGGTATGGCCAAGGCCGGCCCTGCCACGCCCTGTACTCCCCTCTAGCCTTACCTCTCCACCCATCCCTGTCCCGGCCAGACCTTTTGTGCCTGTCCTAGCCAAATAGGGAAGGTGCTGCACCCTTGCCTTCCTGGTTCACAGACCTCCTGGGACCGCCCTGCCTGCCCTTCCTGCCTTTGTTGATTTTTTGAGGAATGCCCACCTCCAGCCTTGGTGTGGCAGGCTGCTGGGATGGGGGAACCATGCTCAGTGCCTTCCCA